TCAAGCGCGTTGGAGTGAGTAAGAGCTATGCTAGGAGCATATTGGAACATGTTGGAGCATGCGACGCGAACAAACCTCTATTGTAGACCCCGCATTACGTACATACGAATATGGCCTGAGCGTCGAGCGTCAGTATGAAAAGGCACCTTAATAGCATCTTGACGCTTCAATGTAATGGCATCTTTAGCCGGATATAAAAGCAGTCGTTCCAACGTTGCGTCCTCCATTTTCTTCATCAACGGCATCATGGTAAGTTCTGTTTGTAGTGTGTCCGCGTATCCAACAAAATTAACAATTTTTCTTTGCCATCGGCGTTGAAAATTTACGTAATCGTACTCTTAAATATTTTTTTCGAATTTCTAGATAAATATTATAGCATATATCAACGGTATTGTTTGCATTTTGCGATAGGAACAGATAGTTTTACAAGCACATGGTTTCTTGGTCAACGCCGATGCCTCGTAATAATAATTTGTATCATTAACATGATGATTTAGATTAAAAGTTTATGGTTTTCGTCTGAATAATCGTGACGATACTATTCTAGGGCGGTCTGATTTTCTTTTTGTTAAAAAATCTTAATCATGCGTCTGTTCCACGTATCTCATTCCTGCGCGTCTTTTATTGTAGTCTCACAGAAAGTTCAGCGCCCCTCGACACGGGTCGATGGGGTTCTATCCGAAGAAAAGATCTCAGAGACATCGCGGAAAGGTAAAGGCTTTTCCAAAAGATGATCCTAGCAAACCTGTACACTTGACTGCTTTTATCGGTTATAAAGCTGGTATGACTCACGTTGTCAGGGAAGCTGATCGTCCTGGGTCGAGTGAGTATTATAGGACAAAAATTTATAAAAATATTTTGTACAATTGCTAAACTTTTTCAAGAATAATACTTTTGATTTTTTCGCGATTTTATATATATATATATATATTTGAAGGTACCAAAGGATTTATGGATTATTGCTGCATCATGATTCATTACTAACGCCATTTCGTGAACCTTTCCATTTACGAAACATTGGCATTAACATGGCGATAACCCGCATCCGAAATTCTTTGGCACCATTTTTTAAGAATATTTTTCTCCAAAGCTGATTCTAAAATGAGTCAGTAGTCAGTAGTTTTAAGTCTTATCGTTGAAGTTGACTGTTGACTACCAGCTACCGACTTATTGTAGAATCAGCATAAATGTTCTATATACTTGTTCAGAATGCATATGAACTTGCGATGTGTTAACCCGAGTGTTGATCAATGCAGAAATGTGTTGATCCATTTGGGTTGCAGTGCGAGAGCTGCCTTTAATGCAGTACGTTCTCAATACTGCCATATCGAAAAACAACACTGTGCGCTGCTTGTGCAGAATGCATAGAAGCAAGGTATATTCCATAAACTCTTTGGAGTCCATTGGGCAGTAACCATTGAGACAAACCATACCTAGTACAGTCTCTTCAAAATAAGCTCTTTAAAATGTTTTTTTTATTATTATTTTACATTTTATAAATATACTAAACAATAAACAATATTTGAGCATTATGTATATAACACAGCTAAAGAATGAAAATGTGTTATTCTAGGTCTAGAATTTGATTTGTGCTTAGTACTTCAGAATATATTTACATATATCTAGTTCTATAAATTGTGTGATTTAATTTTTTTAGATCTTGAAACACTATATTAAATTGAAAATGATATAGTAAAAATTAAATTCAAAAGCATTTTAATGATATTGATGTTAATAATAAGCAGAGTTGGAAAATGATGCGTTATGTTGCAGTACTGTGTATTGACGATTACAATTAACGGTTGCTCGGTTCTATTTCAATCACGACGTGGCGAGTCCATCGTAAATGGCTGTAGTAGAATCAGACTACTGTCAATCATAATCGTCAACCCGTAATCTGATACTCCTCTTAGGACCTAAGCATAAAGATAATCGTAACTGAGTCGTGGAACATAAGTCAGCTATAGATTAACCAAAATATTGTGCGTTGACCTATGACTACGATTCATGTTTTATGATTCATTTACGACTATCTTCGTGCTGAGACCCTTAGCCTAATATTTCATGTAAGGTACAAATCTTTTTAAGTGTGTTGAAGCTGGAAACATAATGGTAAGCACAGACAATAGGAAGAGGGAATAAAAAATTTCAACCTATCGGAAAGCGTCCATTCTATGTGGTTTCTGATAGGTTAAAATTCATAATTCCCTGTTCTTATTGCCTGTACTCTTCATTGTGTTGATTGGCTACAGGAGAGATTCTACAGATGAGAACCTCTGTCCTGCAGCCAATTAAATAGACTCGACAAACCTTGTCATACAACACATGAAATATAATTTTTATTCGTAACATCATTACCATTTTCATTACTTTTATCATTACTTCAATTTATAACCTTTATTATCTTTATAATTACTTAATAGACCGCATTATTTTTAATTGGCGAGAAACATTTTATAATAGAAATTTAAACATATATGTAAGGGTAACTATAAATTTTCAGTATTGATGGTGAAAATTGTAATGCATTCTTAATAACATTGATGTTGTTATTAAACAATATTTAATAAACTTTTTTGAATCTACATTTATGAGTTACAATTTAATTTCCTAAAGATAAGCATATATTAAAAAATAAACATGCAAGTATATACATATATATAAATATATATAACATATATATATATCAAATGAATTGTCAAAAATTTATTAAGTATAGGTTCAATATAAAGAGAAGCTTGTTATATAGACTATCTAATTAGAATTTTAAATTTTAATATTGATTTTACAATTAATATTGATAATTAAATGTGTAATTTTTAAATCTAATATCTTTAGTATTACACAAAAAAATAATACAAAGAAGCAGTACAAATTATTATTTTCCAAGATGGTAACGCGTTACATTTTAAAATTGGTAACGAGTAACGGTAACAATAACATATTACTTTTATGAAATTCCCAACCCTGTTAATAAGCATTTTAAAATATTAAAAAATTTATTACAGAAAATAAATATCAATTTTTTTACAGAGGTGAATAAGAAGGAGATTGTGGAGGCTGTTACTATCCTCGAAACGCCACCGATGATTGTTGTTGGTCTTGTTGGATACATTGAAACGCCACATGGACTCAGAGCGCTTGCCACTGTCTGGGCAGAACATTTATCAGAAGATTGCCGTAGGCGTTTCTACAAGAACTGGTTAGTAAAAACTATTTAAAATATTTAAAATGATTATTTTGGCTTTAAAATTATACGAATTACGATATGTTAACTTGGATGTTGATCAGTGCGGAAACGCGTTGATCCATCTGGGTTGCAGTGCAAGAGCTGCTTTCAATGCAGTAAGTTCTCAAGACTGCCATGTCGAAAAAAAAACACTGTGCACTACTTGTGCAGAATGTGCATGGAAACAAGGTATATTCCATAGACTTTTTGGAGCCTATTAGGCAATGACTATTGAGACAAACCATGCCTGGTACAGTTCTTCTCTTTGTACTTCTCTTAATTATTCTCGTTATACAACTATGCCATTATTTTACGTATACAGTACTAAAACTATCGCATCAGCTCTCCGCTCACACGATGAGAGTAATCATTTGGATGTGGCCATTAAAGCTTGCTTTTTAATATGGCTAATTCAAGAAATGTGTTCAGTCTCCACTCATTATGATGAGACTGGCACGTTGCAGAGATATCTAGGTGGTGTACCCAAGACACATGCATAGATGGACATTGCAATTGATTTTCCGACAGGTATAAGAGCAAGAAGAAGGCATTTACGAAAGCGTCGAAGAAATGGCAAGACGACCTCGGGCGCAAGTCCATCGAAGCTGATCTCAAGAAGATCAAGAAGTATTGCAGTGTCGTTCGCATCATCTCTCATACTCAGGTAACTGGACGATGTGCGACAATATTAAAATATTAGATACACTTGTGACGATAATACTATGTTACAAAGTTTCTGTTTCTTACCAACTCAATGGTGATTCTTGTATACTTTTTAGCTACTGAAAAAGAATATAAGATTAAGAAAGTTCCATCGGCCATAGATTTTAAAAATAATTTTTTTCGAAAATTGAAAATTTAAATAATTACAACTTTTTTCTTATACAGTAAAATACATAAAAAAAACACTAAATTATTATACGAATTTGCGTTATATTATGCAAGAGATTGAAAGTGGAATTTGTACAAATTGAAGGGTGATCGAATTTTTTAAAAGCTTTCAAATACTTACAAATCGTTTTTTGTGGTTGAACTAGTATGCACTTTTGAAACTTAAAATGAGATAGATTAGGTATATGTTTGATATTTGGCGAAAGCGAGAAAGAGAATTCTAGTGTAGTTTAATGCAGAAATAAAAAAAAAACAGATGTCTTGTTGAAAAATAAATTGATCAAAATTTGTTGCACTGTGTAATTTAATTTTTTTGTTGTCTCCTAGATGAAACTGCTGAGGCAGCGTCAAAAAAAAGCTCATATCATGGAAATCCAATTGAACGGTGGCACCATTGAAGATAAGGTGCAATGGGCGCGCGAACATTTGGAGAAACCTGTGCCTATTAGTAGCGTGTTCGCTGCTGATGAAATGATCGACGTGATTGGAGTTACCAAGGGAAAGGGCTACAAAGGTACGTTCTTCTATATGTATATGTGTTGTGTGTGTTGTTTGCTCCTCCCCCTGCCTCAGAATTGCCGCTTTTTGGCACACCCACCCCGCCTTGGACCTAACACACACATACACACATACACAAACCCTGAGAAGCATGCTTTTAAGAAAGTACTTAGGACTGTATGATGAAAAAAGCATGACGTGCACTTATCTGATTATCTTGAGGATAATACCATGCTGCCTTCCTACTGAAGTCCTTAACCAAAGAAGATAACTAATTATAAATCGAATATAGCATCCTTATTCGACGAGTGCGCGTGATTTTTATAAAACGTTAACATTTTTCCCGCTTTTTGCAGGCGTTACATCCAGGTGGCACACGAAGAAATTGCCGCGTAAGACCCACAAGGGTTTGAGAAAAGTTGCCTGTATTGGTGCGTGGCATCCCAGTCGCGTGTCCTTTACTGTCGCGCGTGCGGGTCAGAAAGGATACCATCATCGCACTGAGATGAACAAGAAGATCTATAGAATCGGACAAGGCATTCATACTAAGGATGGCAAGGTAATTATTACTTTGGATTCCTGGTGCCTCTTTCC